ACTCCCTCTTCTTTGGGGCAGCCCCTCAAATACTGGAAGACTGCTATCATGTCACCCGTAGTCCTTCTCTTCATTAAACTAGACATCCCCAATTCCTGCAACCATGCTTCATATGTTTTAGTCTCCAGGCCTTTAATCCTCTTAGTTGCCCTTCTTTGCATTTTTTCCCCAAAGTCTCAACATCTTTTTTTGTAATGTGGTGACCAAAACTGGATGCAATATTCCAGGTGTGCCCTTACTAGGGCTTTATAAAGCGATACTAATATTTCACGTGATCTTGATTCTATGCCTCTGTTTATACAACCAAGGATTGTGTTAGCTTTTTTGGCTGCCGCCGTACATAGCTGGCTCAGAGTGATTAGACCACTTCTAATATATATTTTAAATTTCATTTAAAAAAATAGATTTTAGCCTTTTCTAAGTTCCTCTCCATGCTGAAGAGTGCTCATTTGATGTAAGAACTAGCTGCAATTCAGTGGTTCTAAATTTCCACCCCAGTCCTGGGCGACTGGCATCTTAGATGTCATAATAACATTAGCCAAGGATTGTATCCATGCTACATGAGCATGCTGGAGCTAATACCGCAGTCACAACAGGCTACCTGAGGCTCAGGGGCCCAGGATGACTCAAAGAGGACCTCGGTGACTAATGGAGAATCTTGGTCCTAACATTGATCTAGAGGTACGTTTTCAGAAACTTGAATTCTCACGTGGAGAAATGCAATCTGTTCAGGGGACTTGGTTAAGACCCACAACCAGCTACAAGCATTCCTTCCACCATGCCAGGGTTCGGTCTTAAATTTGATCCATCCTGTTGACCACAAGGCCAAATGACCCATCACACGTCAAGATGACCAGGGCATCCAAGCTGAGGGTTGAAACCAGCTGGATCAAGTAGACTAGAAAGAGAGCTGAGAAGAGCAACAAAGATGATCAAGGGACTGCAGTCTAAAACATACCAAGAACGGTTGCTGGAATTGGGTATGTCTAGTTTAACGAAGAGAAGGACCAGGGGGGACATGATAGCAGCCTTCCAATATCTCAGGGGCTGCCCCAAAGAAGAGGGAGTCAAGCTATTCTCCAAAGCAGCTGAAGGCAGGACAAGAAGCAACAGATGGAAACACATGAAGTATTAGTACAGCTTTACAATGCCTTAGTTTAGTTTAGTTTAGTTTTATTAAATTTATACCCCGCCCTTCTCCCGGAGGACTCAGGGCAGCTTACAGCCAGTTTAAAAACAATAATACAATACAATACAAAATTTAAAAGTGATTAAAAATAAATATTTAACTAGGCCGCTTCTACTAAAAATTTTGTTAAAACCAATTA